TACTGTCTTGATGCAGAAACTCCACTATTTTGACCAGTGGTCACCAAACTTGTTCCTGGAGGGCCGCTGTCCTGAAGATTTTAGCTCCAACCCTAATCAAACACACCTGAACAAGCTAATCAAGGTCTTACTAGGTATAGTTGAAACACCCAGGCAGGTGTGTTGAGGCAAGTTGGAGTTAAATCCTGCAGGGACTCTGGCCCTCCAGTACCGAGATTGGTGACCCCTGATTTAGACTATTTAAGGCTGAGTATATTATCTGAGCACACCACCAGACTTATGGGCCGATTTTCCTCCACTGACTACAATTGCCATATTTTTTTGTTGTGAAGTTCTGAATTCAGAGGCAAAAACCTCTTAGTGCCATCTGAAATATTCATCGAAAATAAGCATTTTTCTCAGACTCCTAGTTTAAGAGTTTTTCATTTTAAAAGACGGCATTTAGAGTTTTTTGCATCTGAACTCTTCATATATACCCGTTGTCTGGGTTTTAAGATACATCAATATATATATATATATATATATATATATATGTATACGATTCAAATATTTTTGTTTTAAGTATTGTTTTAGTAGTTCCTCTTTAGACATACACCTGTTATTTTCATTGGTTTTACCATGTAACTGTATATAGTATAATAATGCCAACTTATCCAGCATAAGGCATAAGTTTTACACATTATATATTCATGATATATTCGTGTTCCAGTTTTATATATATATATATATATATATATATATATATATATATATATATATATATATATATATATATATATATATATATATATATATATACTTTTTTTTTTACTGGATGAGTATCTGCATGGCCCCTTACAGAGCTCTAATATGTAATTTTTTTAAACTTGAGTGTCCTATATTTTATTGGTAGTTCCGCCATTTCGGCAATGTTCGAAAACTCACTTAGGCCCAATCCCAAACCTATTTTTGTGTTCCTACCCCTACCCCTTCCTCTTCCCCTTGGCCCTTAAAACAGACTGTGAAGGTGAAGGGCTTTAAAATTTATCTCTAAGAAATGGGACACCACCACAACATCTGCACATGTCATCATATGTCATCACGAGCTCTTGCTTCATATGAGATCAATTCTGGTAACTGCTGTAGTTTCTCCAGTTAAGTAATTTTTTGTTTCATTGCCATATTCAGTCATTCATTTTCTTGTCGGCTTAGTCCCTTTATTAATCCGGGGTCGCTACAGCGGAATGAACCGCCAACTTATCCAGCAAGTTTTTACGCAGCGGATGCCCTTCCAGCCACAACCCATCTCTGGGAAACATCCACAGACACATTCACACACACACCCTCATACACTAAGGACAATTTAGCCAACCCAATTCACCTGTACCGCATGTCTTTGGACTGTGGGGGAAACTGGAGCACCCGGAGGAAACTCACGCAAACACAGGGAGAACACGCAAACACCACACAGAAACGCCAACTGAGCCGAGGCTCGAACCAGTAACCTTCTTGCTGTGAGGCGACAGCATTACCTACTTTGCCACTGCTTCGCCCACATTACCATATTATCACAGCATTTTGTCTTTTATTTTTTACATTGGCAAACATGGAAATATAATTTTGAAGGCCAATAATAAAATACTTTGTATTACTTTACTTTTATTTTACAAAGTTTTTAGTAGGTTGCAAGACCAAATCAATAAACACCGTCTTGGTTTCTTTCTAATAATTGTTAAACAGAATTGTTTATATATTTCTTCTAGAATAAAAGCAGTTTTTAATTTTTAAACACCATTTTAGGGACAAAACTATTAGCCCCTTTAAGCTATTTTTTTCGATAGTCACAAACGATCATTATACAATAAATTGCCTAATTACCCTAACCTGCCTAGTTAACCTAATTAAGCCTTTAAATGTCACTTTAAGCTGTATAGAAGTGTCTTGAAAAAGATCTAGTAAAATATTATTTACTGTCATCATGGCAAAGATAAAATTAATCCATTATTAGAAATGAGTTATTAAAACTATTATGTTTAGAAATGTGTTGAAAAAATCTTCTGTCTGTTAAACAGAAATTGGGAAAAAATCTACAAGCGGTCTGATAATTCAGAGGGGCTAATAATTCTTACTTCAACGATATATATATATATGTCTGTATATATATATATATATATATATATATATATATATATATATATATATATATATATATATATATATATATATATATATATATATACATATATATATATTGCTATTCATGCAGTTTGAGTTAATGATGATAAGGACAGATGACCCCTGACCCTAAGAGCATCTCTGGATCTTGTGAGATGTTATTAGCTGTTAGTTAAACGGAGCGCCTAAGTGTGGTTTTGGCAGGACTCTTGGGCTCATTGGTTTTCTTTAGCCAGATGAAGTGCTTCTAAAATCAGCTGCATGAGCACTTTGTCAAATATAGAGGCGCGATCGCAGCATGAGATTGACATTCCTGCAGGCTCTCATAAACTCAACAAATCACATTAGCAAAATAGCAGCAGCCTTAACACATCCAAATGATAAATAGAAGGATTTGTTATAATTGTCGGAATAATCAAGCGACATGAATTTGACCTGTCAGTTCCCTTCAGTATCCAAATCTGTTCTGTTCTGTTCTGTTCTATTTGTATGGTGAAGAATATTACTGGCTATATGGACGTAATTATAAATAAAAATAGCTTTCAATTACACATTGAATGCACTGGAATGTCTGTGCTATTAAAGATAATGTCATAAATGTTTAAGTTATAAAAATAGGTTGATTGGATGAGCCTTATTTGTAAAGCTTATGCACACTAAAGGGTTTTTAATTTGTTAAGTATGTTTAATGTTTTTTAAAGGTTTACCTATAGGCTGCAATTACTTAATACAATTTTAAATAAATAATAAAAAATACATTTATATCAGCCATTACTACAAACTTTAGCAGTGTTATTTTTAGTATCAACAAAAACTTTTTTTTTAATTAAAAATGAAAAAAATAAAAATTATTATTTTGAATTTTTTTTTATTAATTATGTTTTTTAGTTATTTATTTTATTATTATTTTACTTTATGTTTTAGTAATCTTTTAAATAAAAAAAAGATTAGTACATTAAGTCAAGTAAAAAAAAACAAAAAAAAAACAATACTTTTAATTGATATGTGATTGGGATGCTGACAATGGAGGTGCAGATCCAAATGCAGGTGTATTAACAGGAAAGTCAGGCAAGCAATGATCAACTATGTACAAACGGGTGTATACAGGGAATCCAGAGTCAAAGTCAGTAAACAGGTGGATGGTAGAAAGGCAGGCGGCAGACGGCAATAAAAAAACAACAAAGCAAGTGTCTAATATGACAAGGCAAGGTAAGGAAAGGTTTTAAAGTTGTAAAGTTAACAGTACAGTTAAACAAGACTTAGCACTGATGTGTGTGTGCCGTTTAAATAGTGCTATAATCAGTGCGTGTATGTGCATGTTATCAAACTGAAACAGGAGCAGCTGTGTGTGAGGTGCGTGACGGAACTTGTAGTCCATATACCAGCGGATTTGTAGTTCTTTAGCGAATTGTGTTTACCAACGATCTGCAGCCGCTAGATTGCTGGTGATAATAATAATAATAATAATAATAATAATAATAATAATAATAATAATAATAATAAAATAATTAAATAATAATATTAATGGGCGAGGCAGTGGCGCAGTAGGTAGTGCTGTCGCCTCACAGCAGGAAGGTTGCTGGGTCGCTGGTTGGAACCTCGGCTCAGTTGGAATTTTATGTATGGAGTTTGCATGTTCTCCCTGCCTTTGCGTGGGTTTCCTCCGGGTGCTCCGGTTTCCCCCACAGTCCAAAGACATGCGGTACAGGTGAATTGGGTAGGCTAAATTGTCCGTAGTGTATGTGTCATGCCTGCTGTAGTGCCATCTTGTGGTTTTCTGGACACTAGTTATGTTTTGGTTTGTTTCCTGCTTTGTAGTTCACGTGATCACTAATTGTTTCCAGCTGTCTGTCATTGTCTAATTATTGTTGTCTTTATAAGCCTTGTTATGTTGTGTTTAGTTTGCCTTTGGATTTTTGCAGTTTGCTCATGCACCCTGTTCACCCGATTCTGGTTTGTTTTGTCCGACTCTTGTCTGTACCCAGTCTGCTCACTGACTCGTCGTTTTGGTTCATTTGTTTGTTCACTTTGTTTTATGTTATGATCATATTTTTGAATTCCTGTTCTAACTTTGTTTGAAACACTTTTGTTTATTGGGTTGTACTTTTGTCTCTGTTCGGTTTTTGAACATGGCCTGTCCCCTTATTATTAAAACTTCTATTGCTGCACTTGGATATCTCTTGTATTTTGTAAGCCCAGTATGAGTGTGTGTGTGAATGTGTGTGTGGATGTTTCCCAGAGATGGGTTGCGGCTGGAAGGGCATCCGCTGCGTAAAAACTTTACATTTTTTAATAAACTTTTAAAGCTGGATAAGTTGGCGGTTCATTCTGCTGTGGCGACCCCGGATTAATAAAGGGACTAAGAGGACAAGAAAATGAATGAATGAATAATATCAATCTCACAGAAAAAAATTCTCAAACTGGCTTTTTAAAAAACAGTGATTTTACTGTGAGAGTGACATGGTGGCTCAGTGGTTAGCAATGTCAGATCACAGCAAGAAGGTTGCTGGTTTGAGTCCCAGCTGGGACAATTGGTATTTCTGTGTGGAGTTTGTATGTTCTGCCCGTGTTGGCATGGGTTTTTCTGGGTGCCCCCCCACTGTCCAAAGACATGTGGCATAGGTGAATTGAATAAACTAAATTGGCCGTAGTGTATGTGTGTGAACGAGTGTGTATGCATGTTTACCAGTACTGGGTTGCAGCTGGAAGGGCATCTGCTGTGTAAAACATATGCTGGATAAGTTGGCAGTTCATTCTGCTGTGGCGACCCCTGATAAATAATGGAATGAATGAATAATTTTACTGTGATTAAAGGGTGTCTCTGATATTTGTTTTCTTACCTGCAGATTTCCGGAGCATCTGTGGTGGAGACACTGGTGGGGGAAGTTATACTGTCAGTTCTGCAAGTGGTTGTCCATAAACCAGCACTCTACACCTGTCAGGCTACTAATCGGCACAGTGGAGGAGAAAACACTGTCAAAGCTACAGCAAAGATAACAGTTTCAGGTGAGTCATTTCAATAGGTTGATATTTGCTTTAAAAAAGTATCCTATTGCACTAAATATCAATAATAATAATACTAAAAATAATGACAATAATACATTACATTTATAATGTGCATAAAACCCAAGGCGCTACAACAACAGAAAAATCAAAGCAATAAAATACAAGGATTCAATAAAGACAAATTATAAAATATAAACACATTAGGATGATGAAGAATCTAAAAATGCAGTCTTAAAAAGATACGTTTTTAACAACTTTTAAAGCTAGCCATCAAAGTGATTTTTGCTTTCTCTAAATTTTTCTTTGTTTTTTAAATATACATTAAATGAATAGAGTTTCCTGTAAACAAAATATTTCTATATTTACAAATTTATTTTATTTTAATCAAACAACTGTGGTAGCAATACCTCTAGCAACTATGGTAGAATATAGCGTTACCTGAGCAGAAAACAAAAAAGATAATTTTAGCTTCATTTGCAAAAACAAAGATAATTCAGAAGATATGAATCGATAACAAGAAAGAAAGAAAGAAAGAAAGAAAGAAAGAAAGAAAGAAAGAAAGAAAGAACCCAATTGAGGGCTTTAATATGAGAAATATGGAAAACCAAGCAGGACACAGGTGAACATAATAACAATTTACATGTTAAAAATTGCCTCTATACCCTCATTCACACAGACTTCATGAGTCTGAATAGAAATTACACTGTCTGATTAGATTACCCCTTAACAGTGCACTGTATACCATCGAACATGTATAACATAGTAATTGTGTTTCAGTCACAGCTTTTGAGTCCATTTATAGTGCAGGAGGCAGGAAGTTTCAGATTCTAAAAAGCTATTTATTATACAGAACATCTGAAAGTGCAGAGTGATGTCATCAAACTGGATAATTTAAAAACAAAATTATCATAATGATATGGCATTACTGGAATACACTACCTAAAGAAATGTGGGGTTTTAATAAAATAATTAATAATTACATTCAGAAAAATGTCACAAACATATTTCACAAACATTTTAAACACCACAGATGTGTTTGTGCTGTATAACATATGAATATTAAATGGATAATAAATTAATTGAACAATCTATGTGTCAAATTTTAGGTTACATTTTTTATCAGAAATCCCATATTTAATGTGTTTTAATGCTCTAAATATTTTAATTTTACTTATAACAATTGAACAATCATCTCAGGTCTTCTGTACATAACAAAGTAAAAGAAAAAAAAAGAAACATACATATACATATCACAGTCCTGAATAATACAGTCATTCCTCCAAGTTACAGCCACAATCTATTATCATAAGGCTATGAAGTCACCAGTCATAATGTAGTAGCAAAATCAATTTTAAATGCTTCTGTTAATAAAGGCCCATGAAACAGGGCCTTGTAAACACCCAAACCCCCCCCCCCCCCCCCCCCACCCCCCCGCTGTGACCCACTGTTTCTCCATATGCTCCTCAGTCTGCTTTGTGTAAATATGAAGTGAGTTTCAGCAGCTGTGATTCTGGTGCCACTATTTCAGCTTCTCCTGTGTTTGCAAAGCTGTTCTTCTGCCTCCTCAAACCCTGTGCAAACATGCCTCAAATGCCATTCTATGATGCTTTGGCCATGAAGAGAATGTATACGATACAATTATAAAAAAAAATGTATATAATAATTAGCAACAAATTGAATATTGGCTTGTGCTGATATATATTTTTTTTTCATATTTGTTACATATTCCATGGTTTTTAATACTCTAAATTAGCAGATCCCAACAGGGGGCTCCCGGCCCACAAGAGGGCATCAGCAAGCTTTGTGGGGGGTCGCGTCATATTTTTAAATTTTTTTTTAGCAGTTCACAATTGGGTGAACAATCTTGTTGCTGTAAAAATCAAAAATAATTTTATTTTAAAGAAAATGGACGAATTTGTAAATCGTCCTTCACAAAAAAGACATTGTCTCACTGATTCGCCATCAGCAGCTAACAGCAATGACCCAAGCATACTGGACCCAGGTGAGAAAGCTGCAAACATTTCGGGGTGCAGCGCTAGCTATACTGGAAACACAAAATGCAATGTAAAACGGGGAGTGACAGAGACAACTGAAGTATATATCCACTTGCAGGTTTAGTCAGATAGTCAGGCAAGCAATGGTCAACACACGTGCAAACAGATGTATAAAGGAAGTCCCGAATCGTAGTCAAAAGTATCAGGCGAGAAGTCAAAAGCCAGGCAGCAGAGAGAGACAAAAAGGCAAGCAAGGCTAAGTCAAAACACTGGAAAACAAGACAAGGAAAACACGTTGTAATGTCACTTTACAGATGAACAAGACTCGGCAATGGAAGGGATTGTGTGAGCTGCTCACATAGTGTGTGAAATCAGTCTTTGACAATCCTCAGGCGGTGCAAGTGTAATTATTTAGAATGAGGAAGCATTTATGTCTGTGAGCGGAGTGCATGTATGAAAATGTAGTCCAGAAAAGGCGGATTTGTAGTCCAATGTGATTATGAGTAAGATCCAGCGATTGTAACTTCGAAGATCACAATCTTCCCAATCGCTGATTGTGACACGCAAAGGTTCTTGCCAACAAGTGCATGAGGTCGTTCAAATTAATAAGAAATTTGCAGACGACTCATCCTCAATACCGTGACAAGCCAAGAGCATTTTTTGAGCGCAAGGCAAAAGAATTGACAAACAGCCAAAATGATATGAGGGATGTCACAGCTACTGACAAGAAACGTTAAAAAAATATCCTACGCAGTTGCTGAAAACATTGCCAAAGCAAAGAAAGGGCACACAATTGCAGAAACTTTGATTTTGCCATGCGCAACAGAGATTATCAAGGAATTATTTATAGAGGATAAATCAAAACAAATGGCCAAGATACCATTATCAAATAATATGGTATGAATAAGAAAATGAGATAAAAGAATATTTTTTTGTCTTGTAAAGAGCTCCATACCACGACGATGGCAAACGATATTTTTGAAACTCTTGATACATTCATCAGAATAAATGAGATTAACTGGAGTGACTGTATTGGGGTCTGTGCTGATGGAGTTGCCGCAGTGACTGGCTGGCAGTTGTTTGAAAACAACATTTTTAGTCATCCTTACTGCAAAACTTTACAATTGATAATATCACTAAATGTGGAGGGAGGCCTTACAATATTTTCCAGGTGAAAAAGGGGTCTCAGGCAAAAAAAAAAAAGTTTGGAACCACTTTTCTACAAGTTGTATTTTTACTAACGATTCATATAGAAAGTTTTGTACCATTTTCAGGTAAGTTGCTTCAAAAAAGTTACTCATCACTACTTAAAGGTGATCTATGTATATATTTCTAATGCATAAAAATACATAAACATGTTTGCAGGTATTTAAGAAACATGCCATATTTAAGTCAACATTTTTGTTTATCTGAAAACAATGATGAAGTCAGTTATTTTGCTTTGAAAATGGTCTTTCGTGGAGTTCCACATAAGGTTATTAATTAGCAAATAATATACATATTATGAGCATACACATTAGGCGAACAGGTTACATTGTAACCGAGTGTCATAAAAACACGCAACTTGAGGAGATTTGCAGTAATAAGCGATTTGGCTGTTTACACCAGACGCAACACTAAAGCATTTTAAACATAGCCATTCAGAAGCACAGAATATGCACTCACTTACGGAATGGTGAGGTTTATGATCTAATTAACAAATATTAAACCTCTTTGACATTAAGGGCTCTATCATACACCCGGCGCAATGTGGTGCAATGCGCGACACAATTGTTGTTTGCTAGTTTCAGCTTGGCTCAAGAGTTGTTTTGGCGTTTTGCGCCACGCTGTTTAAATAGCAAATGCATTTGCGCTCATATGTGCGCCCATGGGCGTTCTGGTCTAAAAAGGAAGGGACTCATTGTTGGCATGTTGCTATTTTAAGAAACTATAATAGATTTTTCAACAGACCAGAACAAAGCCGGTCTGTTGTCCAGCGCAGAGCGCGTTAGTTGTGTGCTTTGCTCACACACTGCTTAATACACACAAGATGTAGAGGAATACCTAAATATCTTTAAATATGAAAAAGAATAAAAATATTAAGAATGTATAGGCTATAATAAGGATATATATAGGATATAAATATAAAGGATTAAATTATAACAGCATATTATTTTCCAGCCTACATAAATATAAAAATCATACTTTCATGCCTTCTTCATCTCGGGGGGATTTTTTAGCTTATTCGTGACAATTTGCTTTTGTATAATGTTATCATTATCAGCAATATTATATATTATATACATATTTATATTTGTTTTATTAAAAACAAGCTTAGATTTGCCCACCTGTCAGGTTTCAGACCATATGGGACACAGCATGTGTATTTGGATATAACTCAGTTTTTTGACCACACTTCGTTATTATTGTTCATTTATTCGTTTGCTGGAATTTAGAACTGAATTTATAAATAGTTTTAAAACTAATCTTTGCACTTAACAAACAAAATTAATTATTTATAGGCTAATTGATGTCTGTGCATACAAGGTTTCCCTATCCACGAAATTAAAAGTGAAAGTAGATAATGAGAGGCCTTATCTCTCTTTCTCGCGCTGCAGATGCTCTGTTTAACTGTTTTCTTGCTAGTGAAACGCTCAGTTTTTCCACCTACAAAGTGCTATGCATGTGTTATGGCATGACGCAACTGGCTATTAAAGGAGATGGGAGATGAGACTCTGATAGGTTTATTCTCAAAACAAACCTATAACTCATTAAGAAAATAAGCTCAACCCTTTTAGACCATGGGCTATGGCACAAAGTGGATTTTTCCATCCTCATATTAGCAAAAGTGGATTCTGATATGCCCTGAGTGCGTTTGCGCCCTGCTCTTTGCGCAAAATAATGTGTAATCACTTAATGCCAGTGTAATGTTTTACTTCTTTTGTGTTCAAGGAAGTGATGTTATACTCTTGAATAGAGAACATATTTTAAGTTTTGGTACTTTTTTTTTTTTTTTTTTTTTTAGTTTTTTTTTTTTTTTTTTTTTTTTTTAGGAAACGTTTACTTCATTACATTTCCCAATTGAAGCTGTGTAAAGTTCTGGAGGGAAAATTTGAAATTTGAAACCTGCTCTACATTTCTGAGATGGGAGAGTGGTTTTTAATTTTTGATCAGGCTGAATTTTATCAGTTAAACTGGTAAACGGACCGGCGAGGCAGTGGCGCAGTAGGTAGTGCTGTCGCCTCACAGCAAGAAGGTTTCTGGTTTGCTGGTTCGAACCTCGGCTCAGTTGACGTTTCTGTGTGGAGTTTGCATGTTCTCTCTGCCTTCGCGTGGGTTTCCTCCAGGTGCTCTGGTTTCCCCCACAGTCCAAAGACATGCGGTACAGGTGAACTTGCGGTAGGCTAAATTGTCCATAGTGTATGAGTGTGTGTGTGAATGTGTGTGTGGATGTTTCCCAGAGATGGGTTGTGGCTGGAAGGGCATCCGTTGCGTAAAACTTGCTGGATAAGTTGGCGGTTTATTCCGCTGTGGCGACCCCGGATTAAAAAAGGGACTAAGCCGACAAGAAAATGAATGAATGAAAGAATGGTAAACGGAACATGAATTGCACTATATTTTTATTAAACCTACTGTTCTCAAATCACTATGTCTATTATTCAAATAGTCAATTCAGAGTGAATTTTACTGATTCAATTGATATATTCAGAGTGAGTTTCCAGTAAATGATTCACTAATTCAATTAATATGTTCAGAGTGATTCAAGAGATCTGATCAGAATTTCCAGGAAATCCTTTATTGATTCAAAAGATATGTTCAGAGCAATTTACTATTTTTACAAACTGATCTGAATGGGGTTTGGCTTGTGAATGCGGATCACAAATTGCAGGGAACTGTTCATTTGTTAATTGGACTGATGACTGTTCACAAGTGACCAAGGTCAATGATTCCAGTAGTCCATTCAGAGTGAGTCTCCAGTAAATCATTTATCACAGCAAAAGATCTGTTCAAAGTGAGTCTCCAGTAAATAATTTACACATTTTATAAACTGATCTGAATGTGGTTTGGCTTGTGAATGTGGTTTTACATGTACTTGGATTGTCATAAATTATCAGTATAGATATCAAAGTATGACAAGTTAGTCAATTCAATTACCTTGCAAAAAAGAATCATCAGTGAGTACTTTTACATTTATTACTTAAGTAAAACAAAACTAAAGTAGTTTTTAGACTTTGCCTCAAGTAAGATAGACCCTTTTCACGTTTCCGGGTTTTCTTCAAAAATAATTTTCTAGACAAGCAAAACATATTGTCTTGTTTTCAGAAATAATATGCCAAGATTAAGTGAGTTTTTCCTCAAAACAAGCAAAATAATCTGCCAATGGGGTAAGCACAATAATCTTATGCCAAAACAAGACTAATTTGCTTACCCCGATGGCAGATTATTTTGCTTGTTTTGATGAAAAACTTAATATTGAAGTATTACTTCTAAAGCAAGACAATATGTTTTGCTTGCCTAAAAAAGATATATTCTTGATTTAAGAATTTTTAGATATTTTGACTAGAAAGAAGACAATAAACCTAAGTAAGAAAAACATTTTTTGCAGTGCAGTAGTGAAAGCCATCATAGTTTTAAAAACTATGACACTATGAATGGGAGAGTATATAATAATTTTTTTACAATCTTATTTGCTCAAATAATAATAAAATAATAATAATTTTTTAAAAAAAACTCCACGATGATGTTATAAAGACTTTAAAAAAAAGAAAGAAAAACATTTGTGTGAGACTGATAACGGCAGCCAGAGGAGAGAATAATTAAAATTATAAAATTACTGTCCTGTCATATAGATGCAGCATTAGAAATGCCTCGCATGAGTGGAAATTCGTTTTTTATCATTTGAAGCAAAGATGATATATTATATTGATACAATAAAATATACATACATTTACAAAAATCTTAATATTAAAAGCTTTCAAGGATTTAAGATGCTGATGACTGTTAAACGCATCATAACAGGCTTGTGAAAAGGGTCCATTAAAATTAGGACTTTGTACTTATACTGAAATAGTGTATTATTGGTGTATCTGAACTTTTGGAACACTCCATTTAACTGGTTTATTCTGTGAAGTAGATTCTTGAAGCATCAGGAGGCCTGTTAAACGTCACACCTGCTGGATCTCCAGACAGACCCCCCAAATACTGTGCCTGTCACACGCACACACACACACACACACAGAAACACTGAGAAACACAGATCTTTACTTCTCACAACCATGATCAGGCCTGCAGACTCTCTGACATTAAGCAGATCTTCTCTCTACTCTTCTCTGTTCTTGGTTCTGCTCCTGGTGGCCGTTTCTGGATCCTGTACATTTCCCGTAGAATGGAGGTAAGACAATATTTTGTGCTCTCTTAAATTCTTATTATAGCTTAGCTAAGGTGTAATCTATCTATCTATCTATATCTATCTATCTATCTATCTATCTATCTATCTATCTATCTATCTATCTATCTATCTATCTATCTATCTATCTATCTATCTATCTACCTATCTATCTATCTATCTATCTATCTATCTATCTATCTATCTATCTATCTATCTATCTATCTATCTATCTATCTATCTATCTATCTATCTATCTATCTATCTATCCATCTATCTATCCATCCATCTATCTATCTATCTATCTATCATTTTAAACAGATTTTTTTTAGTGACATTTAAGACTGGAGTAAGCATGCTAAAAATTAGGTGATAAATCACAGAATTGGATTTTTTTAACTGCATCCAATAAAACATAGTTAATTTATATTGCAATAATTTCAGTAATTATTGATGTAATACAGCAAAAAAATATTATTCTATGATTGTATACTATAATTATTATTATAGTTTTTTTTTTTTTTACATTTGCACAACAATTAATGTATTTCTCAAAACAATTAGTACAAAGAGCAAAACCTAGTTGATAATCTGCAAAAGCGTGTCACATGCTCAAAATGGATTGCTCATTCCTCAAAAGCAAGTATTGATATCAATTAAAGTGTCAGTGACATCAAGATGAAAAGCCCTGACACCTTTTGTTTATAAACAAGATCAAATGGCTTTGCCATGTTTTCATTTTTACAGTTTACTCTGTACATTTTTTCCAGTGCAAAAAAAGTCAAATTTTGGTGACACTTCCTGAAAATTCTCCATAGAGCACTATTTACTATTTGCGCAGCCATTTGAAAACTACAGTAAAGTTAGACATCACTGCGTTTAGTGAGGTACAGTATCTGAGTACAAGACACTGAATATGCATGTTTCACATTTTTACCACATCTGCCAACACTCCGCTCTTCAGCACAAAGCTGACAACCCCCCCAAGCTCTTCACTTTGCGCGATCCTCGCCATCCCTGCAATGAATGACTCGTTCACTTAGCTGACATTAATACAAGTGTCTAGCATAGCAGCATCTTGTTGTCATATTTCATAACATTGTTTGCTTATTTTATTCAGCAAAGCTAGCATAAGTCTAGAATTTAGTGCAAGTTGGTGCTACTTTGCCTTATAATCAGTGCAGTGAGTGCAGTGAGTGTCTATATAGTGTCTATATTATCATCAATAACGTTACTTGTTAAGCACAAAAGTTCATAACATAGAAACGTAAAAAACTAAATCATACCTATGAAATGTTCTGCCTTTGTGCTTTGTTTTCTTTGTTTGTTTATTACTGTACCCGTACACAGCGATAAAGTCCACCATCTTCACATTGGCACACTGTCTTGACCAGTGTGGTGGAATGACATTTGTCCTATTGACGCACGCTCAGGGTCCCAATGTGATATCTAGTGTTTATATCTATGGTGTGTGTTAGGCTGTTGAACTAAGGGTTGTCCTCTCACACACTCTCTCCATAGTGACAAAACAACGCAGTGAACCCCCACAGCTTGTGGACAGAGCTGATTCACAAAGTGAAATTTGTAATTAGCCTATAAAAAATATTGTCGGAGGAACAACATAAATGTATATCTTTTTAACAGATACCTGTTTTATTAGTAGATAACATCATGGACAGCTAAAAATGCATGTCATGTCATTTACCCCTATATTGATCTACAAATATATAATTATATATGAATATGACAGTAAGGACGAAGCAACTTCTCCAGGTTCTTTGAGAAGCAGACCGAAAAAGCTATGTGCACTTTTGTCTATACACTCACACTCACACACACACACACACACACACACACACACACACACACACACACACACACACACACACACACACATATATATATATATATGATATATATATTAGTGCTGTCAATCGATTAAAAATTAACTAATTAATCACACTTTTTTTATTAATCGCGATTAATAGCACTTAAAATACTGAAAAGTGTAATTTCGGCTATTCAAATGTAAAATTAATGTAAACGCAAGATAAAAACTATTTAAATTCAAAATATAATTGTTTATTCAAATTTTTGTTTAACTTGTAACACAGATTTCTTATTGTAAACAACATATCCACAATAAACCATCAAGATCCTGGCTTGACAGCCATAATTATTATAGAAATAAAAACACAGGCATGTTAATGACATTTGAATTTTAAAACAAGAAATGCCAATAAAGAAAAAATGATTTCCAAGCTGGATTCTAAGTGGACTGCAAAAAATGCCAAAATAGGCATAGCAGATATGGAAATTGGAAAATTATAATAACAATAAAGTATTAAATACAAAAAATTACACTCATTGTAAAATTGTATTGCTGTCAGTTGAGAACGTTATGATAAAGTAGAAACAATTTTGCTTAATTGTGCTTTACATTCATCCAGTTGCTAAGACAGTCCAGTCCAGACATTCCAAGTCTCCTGGAAGTTGCGGAAGTATTCGTAAATGCACAGAGACTCCCGGATGCCCGCAAATGAATGATAATCTCCCGGAAATCTGCCAAATGATTATATACAGTTGAAGTCAGAATTATTAGCCCCCATTTGATTTTTTTCTTTTTTAAATATCTCTCAAATGTTGTTTAACAGAGCAATTACATTTTTACAGTTTGTCTGATAATATTTTTTTCTTCTGGAGAAAGTTTTATTTGTTTGATTTCATCTAGAATAAAAGCAGTTATAATTTTTTTAAGGCCATTTTAAGGACAAACTTATTAGCCCCTTTAAGCTATGTATATTTTTTTCCCGATAGTCTACAGAACATACCATTATTATACAATAACTTTCCTAATTACCTTAACCTGCCTAGTTAACCTTATTCACCTAGTTAAGCCTTTAAATGTCACTTTAAGCTGTAGAAGTGTCTTAAAAATATCTAGTCTAATATTATTTACTGTCATCATGACAAAGTTCAAATTAATTCACATTAATTAATTCTTTTATCCTGGAACTTGTCTTTAAAAAGTGCTTCTTTGGCATTATCCATGTTTCTTTGCATGTTGAACATGTCGACCACCACAGGAAGTAAATAAAAACCCTGCAACTGCGTTAATTGCGTCAATTTTTTTAACGCGTTAATTATTTCAAATTAATCGCATCATTAACGCACTAATTTTGACAGCACTTACATATATATATATATATATATATATAGTGGTAAAACAAAATCACAGGACCTTTTTTTTATTTATTTATTTGATAAATGTGTTTCCATTATAGCTTGTTATATGTATATGTCATAGCAGATTCTTTCTTGGTGGCATGGTGCCTCAGTGGTTAGCACTGCACTGTCACCTCGTGGCAAGATCGCTGGTTCGAGTTCAGGCTGGATCAGTTAGCATTTCTGTGTGGAGTTTGCATGCTCTCCCTTTGTTTGCGTGGGTTTTCTCTGGGTGCTCCGGTTTCCCCCACAGTCCAAAGACATGCCCTATATTTGAACTGGATGAACTAAACTGGCCATAGTGTATGAGTGTTTTTTTTTAAATGAAAGAGTGTTTCACAGTACTGGGTTGCAGCTGAAAGGTCGTCCGCTGCTTAAAACATATGCCGGAATAGCTGGCGGTTCATTCCACTATAGCGAGCCTTGATAAATAGGGGACTAAGCCAAATGAAAAAATGAATCAAGATTATTTTTTTCAGTTAAATAATTATTTTTTTATGTGCATTCAAATGCACATCAAAATAGGTGGATGGAAACATAGCTAGTGTAGTGCTGACATCTAAAAAGACATCAAATTTGGACTGAGAACTACAAAACTACAACTGATAAGAAACCTGTGTGCAATAAAACAAACAAAAGCCAGATCCTGACAGTACATCGCACGACTCAAGTCAGCTACTCACGGAATCAGTCGGAAGTTTTTCAAAAATCTCTCACTGGAAAGAGGTGCTCAGATTGAATCCGCATGTTTCTGCTGATTGAAATGATAAATGTAAACATCCACACATGCGCTGAATAACACACTACAGTCCTGCCGCTGACGCCAGACGTACCATATGGTCATAGTTACACATGAACTTAAATAAACCGGGCCATTATCCTTCGCTTCAGATTCAGCATCTGGATGTAGTTACAGCTGAGTGAAGCAAAATGAACTAATTGTGAGAAATGTGCTTTATTTCTGTCTGTCGTGGAGGTGTACATGAGTCAGGAAATGCTTGGAAAACTTGAAGGGACATCTTTAGATGACTTGAACCCAGAACAACCATTTTGTTTTGTAGAAGTCGACACTAAAATATATATTGTTGCTTGTTCAAACTACTTGTTTAAAATGAGCTGAGATAAGCAATTGTTGTAATTTCTTTTGACAATTGATTTGTTTTATGTTCAATCACACCTAAATTTTAAGTTACTAAACATTAAGTTAACTTAGTTTTGTGTTGGGAAAACATGAAGAAATTGTGTTGGCTGATCTAATAGATAGTTCCCAGAATGCGTTAAGACAGGGACATGTTCACAGCAAGAAGGTCGCTGGTTCGAGCCCCAATTGGATCAGTTGGCGTTTCTGTGTGGCGTGTTCTATGTTTTCCCTTTGTTTGCGTGGGTTTCCTTCGGGTGCTTTGGTTTCCCCCACAGTCCAAAGAAATGCTGTACAGGTGAATTGGGTAGGCTAAATTGTCTGTAGTGTATAAGTGTGTATGGATGTTTCCCAGACATGGGAACTGGAAGGGCATTCGCTGCATAAAACATGTGCTGGTTGTTGGTTCATTCTGCTGTGGCGACCCCAGATTAGTAAAGGGACTAAGCCGAAAAGAAATGATGAACAATTCATGTTCATGAGTTCCTTAAAACATATACATATATAACATGATTCATGTTTTAATATGGAAATTATTCATAAAATAACTTTGCCTTCCCAGTAATATTTATTTTCATAGATATTGTAATAAAGGAGTTGTCCAACACTAACAGTTGAAGTCAGAATTATTATTAATATATAT